ATGTGAGCACAAATCACTACCTCAGAAATGCGAAGTTCTGACATTTTTTTTGCCATTTTAAGTAACTGTGATCAAGAGGTCAGAAAACAAATTATGTTCTATCCGCTCTATCAAAACCGTAGGATTATTCGGAGTCGATATCAAAGCATTCGAAAAATTGTATTCTAAAAAGTCTGACAAGTTGTGAAACTCAATTAAAAAAAAAAATTTTGATAAGGGTTTTACGGCACATACAACACAACAAGGCCATATAAGTGCCGAAGATTAGAGGTTTTATAAGAGAGTAACAAACGCAAAAAGGAGGGGAGATAAAGACGATATATGTTTGATAGGAAAGAAGGAGCAAACCACACCAAAGCACTCGCCAACCACCCACGACCATGAGGTCAGAAACCGATTTATGTTCTATCCGGACTATCAAAACCGTAGGATTATGCGGAGTCGTTATCAAGATATTCAAAGAATATCATTCGAAAAAGCTTGACATGTTGTGAAACTCAAAATTTTTCAACATCAAATTTCTCAAAAACTACGAACAGAGCAGATAGAACTTTGTAACTCTCGTGTAGCAAAACATCTCGCAAACGTCAAGAGTTCTACGCTCTTTGTGTTCAGGACGATTACTGAGAGGTCGGCCAACCCACAACCGTTTTAGTTTAATTTTAGCGAGAGTTTTACGGCACTTGCAACACAATAAGGTCATATAAGTGCCGAAGAATAGATATGTGTTACAAGAGAGTAACATACACAAAAAAGAAGGAGAGATAAGGACGATAGACGTTTGCTAGGAAAGAAGGAGCAGACCACACCAGATCACCCGCCAACCATCCACTCAAAATGCTTAACGTCAAATTTCTCAAAACTATGTACTGAGCAGATAGAACTTTGTAACTCGAGAGCAGCGAAATATCTCGCAAACGTCAAAAGTCCACCGGACTATGTGAACAAGACGACTACTGTGAGGCCAGCCATCCCACAACGGTTTGACTACACCGGGGCTGTCAAACAACGACCAGGGAGAGGCTTTACTTTACACAAAACGAACCAGAAGAAACACTCGAGGCGTTTACGTCAGAGCGCGACATCTTGCAGCAATTAACATTTGAATGATAACTGCACATAGAGCTAAGTCTCACAATCATAATCCTAATTCAACGTATGATTTGTGAGGAAACTCCCAGGAATGCGCATCTCTAAAACGACATACATCCCTCAGTGTATTTCCGAACATTTAAAAAAGCGTATTCGTCATCGGACAAAAATGCGCAGCAGATTGGAAATCGATATGTACGAAACGACAAAGGTAGACCAATACAAACTGAGACAAATATGAACGGCGATTTGTTTTGCATCAAAGGAGTCGAGTACAATAAGACGTTCACATTGTCACGACTTGCTAAGCCTCGGTGTCGTTGCGGTTTCGGTTTCGGTGTCGTTTCGTGTATACGAACTTCAAGCTAATGGAGATAGAAAACATTAATCTAAGAGCTTTCACTTTGCTATTACCTTCATTACGATTTGATTACGGAGGCTGAGACTTTGACGTCACAACTGCCCCCGACAGGAAAAACGAGGCGTAGAGGGATTGGGCAGGGGGGGGGGGAGAAGGGGGTCAGGGAGGGCGGTGGTGTCGGATGGTGTTGAAGTCTATATATAGGACTCCTTAAGTGAACATTCCTGTCCTCATAATCACCCCTCCCCCCTACACCCCATCCTATTCACAATCCCAACGACTCACAACGCATGAGCAACCGGACTCCCCCGGTCTCACATTGAGTTGTTTCTGATGTGACATTGGGCTGAGGTGCGAAGGCTCTGGTGCAAATCCCCAACAGGGGGTACAAGAACATGTATTCTTAGGTTATTTGAGGAGTTCTCAAAGCTCTTCACACACTTGGTGTTTTTGTTTTAGAAAGAGTTTTACGGCACTTGCAACACGATTAGGTCACAAAAGTGCCGAAGATTACAAGTGTTGTTACAAGAGAGTAATAAACACAAAAAAGAAGGAGAGACAAGGACCACAGATGTTCGATAGGAAAGAAGGAGCAAACAACACCAGAGCACCTGCTAACCAACCATCGATTATGCATGACCTATTACTAAAAGACAGAAGATTGACTAAAAGGTCCTGCTTCTTAGATAAGATAAACTTAATTGTTCCGTGAGAGAGGTTTTGAGTGGATATATACCGGAACATCAACATACATGTACAACATTCAACATCATCATGGAAACGCACTTGTCACATTCATGATACAGCGACGCACGACTCACTCACACATGCATACTTACACAGTGTTCTGAGGCCATGCTCTCTCTCTCTCTCTCTCTCTCTCTCTCTCTCTCTCTCTCTCTCTCTCTC